AGGATGCATGAGCAATGAAAGTACTTGTTATCAAACAGAGGTTTTCCAGCAGTATGGACCGTTAGGTGAGCAATAAGGAGGATGCATGAGCGATATATGCAGAGATTTTTTAGCATACTTGATTATGTAAGTAACCTAATTTGGGGGTGAACAATAGTGACTGGCTAGAAAAACGATCCTGGTAAATCTAGTCGCCCCCAAAAAGGTGCATGCCTTCTGGTGTCTACTGATCTATTCAGAAAATGATGTTTGCAGAAAGTGAAATGATAGGAACATGTAAAGCTATAACATTCCATCATCTGCCTCTACAGCTGACACACACTGCTGGGAATTCCAGCTATCCCATTCCTTACAGACAGAAGAAAACTGGAAAGGGGTTGGGCTGTATGCTGAGTGCAGTTTCACTGGGCAGAAGGCCAACACTTTTATATTTTTTACCAGTTTGTTGCTGTACATAACTAGAAACCTGTTTGTATGTGACTTTGTCTTTACACATGTTCATTTTTGTTGTCCAACTGCATAGTTTCAGCAAAGTATTACATTTTGTATGTCAATTCTCATACCTTGTATTGTCTTGTCATACATTGTATTACCTAAAGCAAATCTGCAGTAATAGAATATGAAGTTAACATTGCTGATTTGGGCTTCTGATAATGCTAGTCACCTATGCTGTCATGTTGATCCAAACGTTTTAGCACTTTCACATGAGGAGTGCCAACTTCACTTTGATTTAGTCTGAAATAACAGAACAGACAGTGAATTAGCATTTTCAGAAAAATGTCAGCCGATAAAAGAGTTTGGAGTTGTAGGATTCTGAATCATGAAGTGGTAAGGAGTGTAAAGATTTTGAGCCCAGTTGTAGGTGCAAGGGGCCAGTAACCAGGTGTGGAGGATGTTGGAAAAAACAAGCCATATGTGGGGTGTATTTAATGTCCAGCTTGGGGACAGGCATTTTTATCATGACCCTCTAATGCGGGTGTGAATGCGGGTGTGGAGATGCCTGCTGGGAGATCAGAATTATCAAACAGCCAGATAAGACAGTTCAGAAAAGTTGTAAGGAGTAGTTCTATTAGTTGAATGGCAAACTGAAAAAATGGCTGCTGCTAGTAGTGAGATTATGAGGTCTATCACTGCTGATCTCCTTAATAATGTTAGTTGTCTAGCTGTTTTGGTGACCCACTGACCATTCAATGAGCATTATTCTAAAAAGATCTCAGCAATGGCAAGCAGCCCTTATAACCCCACTCATGGTAGTTCTACATTAATACTAATTTTCAGCCTTGAATTGGATTACTTTTTGGTTTAATTTTCCTAATTGGTTTAGTTTTCTAAAGTGCCTTAAGTCTTTTTGGAAAGTATTTTGCTTTTCTCCAGCAGTACGCTGCATTTATTACCTTTAGGTTTAACCACTTTTGAATCACTCCCATAACTAGGTTTATAGGGCCTGCAGCCTTTTTACCATATACTGTAGCTCATGAAATTATCCAAGTGCCTTGAGAAAGCATGCGTTCGGCATGAGAAATGGTCATTGAACGGATGGCTTTAATTGTTTTTAGCTTTTGCTGAGTTGGTTTGATACAATGAAGAAGAGTAATTTGCTATACATGCCCTGGAGTTTCTCTTTCTGCACTGAATAAAGCCTGTTTACCATACCTCCCTATTCTCAAAACTTTGAGTCAAACTTGAGTCAAAAGGGACAACCACAGAGCTGCCATATTGGGGCAAATAGCTCACCGCAACAAAAATGGGCGTGGTTTGAAAGGGTAGAATGAAATCATACTGAAAGTAGTTCTACATCGCTGCAAAAATGAAAATGGGGGTACTCTATACTATAATTTTGCACTGTGTGATTCAGGTGTCTCTACTGAATGGGGGCCTAAATTAAATATGAAAAGAGAGGTCTATATCATGTGCACAGCATTCCAACATCCAGCACATGGAGTCTGTAGGATGCCAGGATGTTGTTCCAGTCCCAGGGCAGTCTTATGGGATCCATGACAGTTGGTAGCAATGGAGGTAATTTATTAAAATTGGAGCAGACAAAATCTGGAGCAGATTTGCACTGCAACCAATCAGCTTCTATCTCTCATTTTAAAATCTTACCCAAGCAACTGAAGAGAGATGCTGACTGGTCGCCATGGGCAACTGCTTCAGATTTTGTCTGCTGCTGTTTTGATAAATCCCCCCCCCCCCAATGTTTTTATTCCTAAATAACCCTATTTTTTAGGGTGGTTTCACAGTGAATCATGCTTGGTCCTACTAATAGTTTAAAGGGAAATACTGTGCAGTCATTATTGACCTCATTCAGAAAAATAAATAGCTGTGTGGCTGTTAAATTGATCTCCTCATCTGCACTGCATTGACCTGGAACTAGTATGAGGTCCAAACTCACCTGTGTATTTATTCAGGATCAATGAAGTAAGTACTCCGTCTGGTTCCCAAACTTCTATCTTCACAGGTTACTTTTAAAAGCTATAATACATTAGAAATAATCAGTTCTTGAAAAGTAACCTGTCAGGATACAAATATATGACACCACTAAGTTTGAACGCACAAGCTACAAGGGTGTCAAACTCATCCTTCCTACACTATGTAGTGAGTCGCTGACCTGCAAAGCACATTTATACACTGCCAGTCAAATAAAAAAAGGCCCACACTCTAATATTTAATTGGACTGCCTTTACTATTGGTTCAATAAGCTTATACAATGTCATAATATTTATTTCTGTCCAGAGTTGTATTAATCATTTTTCATCTTGATCTTGCGGTAATGATGGGAGAGTCAGACCGATGTGTAAAGTCTTCTCCAGCACATCCCAAAGATTCTCAATGGGGTTAAGGTCTGGACTCTGTGTGCTGTGAACATGATGTCTCATGCTCCCTGAATCACTCTCTCACAATTTCATTTGATTTCATCTTGGAATATGCCTGTGCCATCAGGGAAGAAAAAAATCCCTTGATGGAAAAACCTGGTCATTCAGTATATTCAGGTAGGCGGCTGGCCTCATTTTTTGGGGACATAACGTTGCTGATCCTAGACCAGACAGACTGAAGCAACTCCAGATCATAATAGGGGGCTCTTATCTATTTGCTTGGCTAAATCCAGGTGGTGACTTTTTTTTGGACAGGCAGTGTATATGTTGGGACATCCCTTGTTCCTGGTGAGTAATTCAATAAGTAGTGGAACAAGGATAAAGATGATAACCCTGGAACTGGCACCTTTAAAAGCAAGTCCACTATGGCAACTCCCATATTTCTGTCTTGACAGATTCCCTTTAATTATATCAATGACAATGACTTGAGGTTGTCAGTTTCCAGAGGTAATAAAACAGAACACATATAACACACAGAGAATAAAGTCTTGTTTTGCATTCAACCTTCCATGTGACCTCTGCAATAAAGATAATTCCATTATGCCTCATGTGTGTTTGCTGCCAGTGGCAGTCTCTGGTCTACTACTCTAGTTTATCTTTGTCTCCTGCTGAGCAGATAATGAGCATCCTCCTAACTAGGTCCATCACACACTAATGTTAGTTAACTGGTTCTTCATGTTAGGAACTCATTTCCTAATTAGGTCAATGACATTACATTTACCCTACATAATTGTTCTCCTTTTCCTTCATTTGCTACCATCAAATAAATGTTAGAACTGTCATTGGAAACAATATAAAAGTTATGTGATTTCTGGATTCGGATGTAAGGATATTACATTTAATGGAAAACTATACTGAGAGAAATACGTAGGATACAAGTATTGATCTTCTTCAGTAATTTCTGGGTCACTGATACACAACAAACATGCAGAAAGTAAAGTCAGATAATAGTAGTAACTACTCCTTGTCTGCATACTTGTTCTGGGACAATAATTAATTGTGGTTTAACTAAAGAAGAATTTTTACTTTGCAAGGTGAACTCTCACTTAGCTTAGTGAAGAAGGTGAAAATTAATTATATGCTAGTATAGAAAGTAAATCTTTTTTTAAATTTACTTGTACATGATTGGATATTCAAAGAAACACAGTTTCAGCTTATTTAAAGTAAGGAAACATCCTATTCTTCTTTAGTTAATCAAGCATTACAGCCAGGGAACGCCTTCTCAGAAAAGGTCGTTTACACGTAACTCTCATAACTTACAGGAATTCATTCATAAAAGGTCCACCTGGCGTATAGCTGGGCAAACACCATTTGCATGGCACCAGGGCCATGCTATACGCCATATGGCATTGAAGAGTAATTCCTATGCTTGTCAGCTCCATATAAGAGTGCTAGTTCTGTGCAAATGGCATGTGCCAAGCTATATGTTGGGCAGAACTTTTATAAATGAACCCCATAGCTTCAGACAGATACTTCTAGCTTCTAGACCCTGCCTAACAGCTGATGAGATATTAGCCACAAAGGGATTGTATTGTTTTCAATATGTCATTGACCTATAGACTTGCATTATGAGAAGCAGCAGTAAAATGCAACTATTGGGCAGTAGTGGAAAGCAGAAATCAGAATCTGCATATAATAATGATCAAATATGGCTGCCCCCATGCACATATATATTTACAATGTATATGCAGAAACAAAGTTTTAATGCATTAAACTCACAGTGATAAGATCTTTTATATAAAGCTTTTCTCCTTTACACAAACATAAAAAAAGACTATAAGCATTTCCTTTAACATTTGTGCAAATGAGACTATAGATTTAAAATTGTATGATGTGCTCAGTTTATATACGAAGTCTTTAGTTTGTAACATTTTCATGGCCAACTCTGTAAATCAAAAGACTGTTTTGTCTTTTCAGCGCTGTAACCCAGGATAGAAGCCTGGTTTGGTATTTACATATATGTATAAGGTTATGTGTATGTTCAGGCTCACATACTGTATAAGTGTGTGCATGAAATGATGAGGTCTTTTTTTTTCTAAATGCCTCTCCATGATAGTGTTGTATATTTGTGTTTGATTGAGTACAATAGATTAAAGTATGTGTTATTCTTGATTTTGTTTCATCTAGGAAAGAGATAATGGAAGAGCTATGTCCTTCCCCGCTAGGAGCCTTTCCTCTGCCAGTTCACAACCATTCGGCTCACCAGTATCACCCATGCTTTTTCAGCCGGCACCGGGATATGCAGGAAAATCAGCAACAACACCAGACACACCAGGAAAGAGATTAACTCCATGGGAAGCAGCAGCCAAATCTCCACTAGGGTTTGTGGATGATGCTTTCATGTCACAAACTGTGCACGAGTCAATATCTGCCAATGTAGTGTCCGCTGCACGTAGAAAGACTTTACCAGAACCTCCAGCAGCTTGGAAGACCACCCCCAATGTACCAATCACAGTTCCCTACGCCCACAAAGCCTTATATGAAAATAAGCGTAATAGTATTTCAACAGTACCAAAAAATGTATTGTCTGCACCATCTTTTCAATGTGGTTACCAGCTCAGGCACCCATACTCAAGTACACACTCTATAACCAATGCTCGATCTCTACCTTTGGAAACAAGGTCAGAGTATGGTATGTCAACAGGTCATAATCCAAACTTCAATCCTTATCCTAGGGCTTGGAGGAGATAAGTTTCCAATTGCTTACCAAGTCAACCACTAAGCTATGATAATGGGCCTGCGGTGGAGATGCTGTTGTGTTACAGGCTGTTGTGTTTCAGAAAGGTCCAGGGCAAACATAGCTTCCTTGCGTTTAGAGGGATTCAGATGTAAAGTCCTTCTTTATACAACTTTTTATAAATACTGCAATTGTATGCCTCTGTAGAATGTTCATTTTATACAAAGCAAGATGAATCTGTGAAACCTCGCTCACTGCATACAGCACAAGTATTTTCCATGGCAGTGGAATAGCGATCATTATTTTCAGCATTGCATTGTTGGGTTTTAGCATCTGTTTGTAGCAAATGTAGTGCAGTACTTCTCACAGACATGCAGGAAATGTATCCCTGTACCCTAGTGATCAACGGGTATTTTATTATGTGCTGTCTGATGAGACCTGGCTGCAGTTAATATTATTTACAACAGATGAAAACAGGAAGTTACTTTTTTTCACTAGTAGGTAAAGTTGTAGAATACAAGGAATTTGAGATGTTACATCAAAAAAAAAAAAATCACTTTATTTAGGAAAAAACTTTATTTAGGCTTTAGTTAAATACCATGCACCCTTAGGCATATGTGAATAATGCCTTATTTTTATACAAGTGTCACCCCGTTTTTCACAAAACTACTTATGTGACGTCTGTCACAAAAATAAAAACAATACTGTGATGCTGGCACACTGACTTTGCACCTCCACTACCACTGGACGATATAATCTACTATGGGTATAAGTGGAGAAAAAATGATAGCTGTATGATATAAAATGTAAAAGGAGTCTTGTGACCCTTAGGGGCAGTTTTCACACCCCTCCCCGGTTCATTTGTGCCCTGAATTTAATCAGACATATCTAGACATGGCAAGGGAAGGCAAAATGAAAAGAAATATTGTACTTTGGAGCTTTCTGATATTATGCTGCATATAATACTGAGTGTTCAGTGTTCATTTTCAGTGAAATATTTCAGTTATGAAGATACTTTCACCCCAAAACAAGGGCTGGACAGATCCCAAGAACTTAGATTCCAAGATCCCAGGAACTAAGCTTCAAGTTGATTTGCTAGACATATTAGTGAATAAGCAGGCAACCTCTGGTTATCTGGTCTTCCATAAGATTTGTATCCCTTAATGAATTACCTTCTGAGCAATCTAAATGCATTTACAATTTGTTTTAGGCATTAGTGATCTGTGACTGGTTAAGCAGAGGGAGGGGGCAGAGACATAAGTCTGGAACTGTTGCCTCTAATAGGCACTGTTCCAATGTGGCTGGGGGCTGGAAGTTTTGGCCTTTTGAGTTTTAATACTTAGAATGAATAATTATGTGACCATAACAGTTACTTTCGACTTAACAAATAACCTAACTCTTAAAATTCAACCTTTACATTTAGCTTCAACCCATGGAATTATCTATCAACAATTAGTGCCCCACTGACCCTCAGAGGCCTAAGGTGGACCCCCAAAGTGTAGGGAGGGCTGACATTTCACTCTCAGGGGCAGATCCTTAGCTGGTTTATGGAATGTGAACAGTGATTGGGCACCAGTCACCTTATGGACTTTTTCAAATGCTTTATTGTAGAACAGCAAACTGGGAAAGAGGGTATAGAGCTTCAGACATCCATAGCAAAAATAGAGACTCCAGACTTACCAATCCCTTCAGGCGTCCACAGTGTAGATATACTTTAGTAGATCAGAGAATGACACTGTACAGTACAACAACAGCTGAATAGGGATATGCATGAGATCTTCCCTGGGAGAGACACCAGACTTGTTCCTGAGGTCCATGTCATCTCCTGGCCTTTGTGGCACCTCCAAAAGTCATAGGACTCCTCTGGTTCTCCTCCCCAGATAGTTCCAGACCCCACCTGGGTCCACATCTGACCTCCTCCAGGCTTGAGGCCTAGTCAGCTTCTCCAACCTTGTACATGCCATCCACAGGCTAAGCCCAGGGCAGGACTGCCCTGAGCACATGGCAATCCCTGAGTATTTATAGACTTCCATAGCATGCACCACTGGGTGTCTGTGCCTCACCAGCCAAATACTAGGAGTTTCATGGCCAGTGGTGGCCATGGAACTCCTAGTTTTTGACTGGTGAGGCACAGACACTCACAATGGTCCCCCATTGGCTGTCCCACTCTGTGGCAGGGTCACAGAGTGGGGCACTGACGGGTAGCTGCAATCAATAGCAGAACACCTAGAAACAACTAAATGATCACAGACTACAAATCAGCCAGACTGATTACAGTGTTAGCAACACTAGATTTAAGTTGACACCCCACTTAGGGTGTAAGGGGCTACAAACAATTAAAGCTACTAGGGCCAAGATCTCAGTGCCAAAAGCTAATATCTGCCAATTAGAATTCTCACTCATATTAGAAGTAACATAATAACCAATCAGAACCAACTGTGTACTGACCTTAATTCAGCAAACTGGATTTTGATTGGTTGCCAAAACCTATGGCATTTTAGAATTGACATTTAGGAGTAAGAACTCTATTGAAAAATGCTGATATAGAATGTCAAAACAAATTTAGGCAAATACTTGTGGTCAGCTTTTGTGGACTTCATTTAGAGGCATAACTTGAAATCATATTTCATCTTTGACTGTCCTCCTTAGCCCTTGTGGTGCTCATTTGTATACCACTGGGAACGACTTACCTTTCTCAATAATTTTAGGGCTACTAGTGAAAGATAATAGAAAAGAAAAGGGATGTGAAGGAAAGGTACATGCTGTTTTAATCTGTATATAAAGCAATGTGATCATTCAGCTAGATAATAAAAGGGAGTAGAATATATGTTCCTGACTCCTGTAGAACAAGTAGTAGTCCTACCCTATGTACCTTTGTAGTTACGCCTTAGGACCCAGTGCTGCATTGACTGTTCCAGCATTTATTTCAGGGAGACATTCTAGCCAAAATTTAGACTGAAGCAGAAACAGACTAGATTACAATATATAGAGGGTTACACAAGGAAGAACCTAAATAGAAAGAAAAGGAACTGAATGTATGTGACCTGAAAAACACACCTATAATAGAAAGCTGCCTGTAGTGTGATCAGAAAAATTGAGTATAGGAGGTATAATGGTAGGTGAAACTGTGAAGGTGACTTATATGACAGAAGTCATAGTATATTAAATATTACATTAACAAACAAAACAAAAAAATATACATTTTCTGACATTACTTTGGCTTATATGAAATGGAACTGTAACAAATGTGGACAGAGAGGTCAGTATTGCTCACAGTTAAAGGTTTCTTAAGGAGGCCTCTATTAAACATTGAAAAGGGTTCATAAGTTTGAGAGTTCCTATGCAGTGCTGAGAAACTTTGTACGATATGCTTTCATATACCCAGTTGAACAATGAAAAGCTCAAAAGAGTTAGGTGCTACTTATTTACGACCACTGCCTACATTGAATATCCTGGTATTAAACCAGTCTGTCTTAGAGAAAAAAAAAAGTCTTCAGGCTTGTAACAACTAGTCTAAAAGACTATCAACTATTTAAAAGAAGGAAACTTCAGTATATACAATGAAACAAATAAATGCTAGCATTTAACTGAGAATCTGTCAGTTTATTCATTCGGGCATAGTGACAGGTCCTGTAGTAAGAAGAGCCTCCCACTCAGTGATTCTCACTTTTTCCATGATCCCACCATCACCTCTTGTTCCATTAAAGCCCTTGGTAAATGCCTAGTCCTTCTGGGTATGAAGGAGCTACACTTCTACACTGGATTCTACACTGAGCTAGGACTCTGCACTCCAATGAAGTGGTGAGGGATCACAGAGAATATAAGTATCAGAGTGTGTGGGGTCTTCATAAAAGAAAACCTGTTTCTTTCTTTCTTGCTTGAGTCTTGTCCTTAAAAAGATACAGGGGCTAATCTGAAAATACTAGCTTTCTGGTAGTTCTAAAGTCCCTGAATATACTATCCTGTTTTATGTTCAGCACTGTAATAGGAATACATACTGTAGTTGTTTTTGATTATACAATCAAAGCTTATTTGAAAGAAATCCTTTTATATAGTAAGTGCTGCCTTCTGTCTGCCCATCACTTTCAACAACTTTCTTGATTCTCAGTGTGCTTTGCATCTCTTTCCCTGCTGCTTGATGTGATCTGGATTTCTCTAGACTACATACTGTATTTCATCATGCATTGCTCCCAGGAAGAAATTATGATGTTACATTGTGGGAAGTTCAGACTTTGAGTTAGAGTTTAGACGGCAGTCTTAAGCTGGCCATACACCTTACAACCATCGCACTTATGTGCGATGGTTGTGAGGTCATTAAAATCTTGTACGATCTGCCCATCTTGGACGGGCAGATCGTACTTGCGATCATCGAAAGCCCTCCCCGCTGAGGGTAGGGCTTCCGATGATTCCAATGCTGAGTGGGCAGTGTGCGCTTGCGCACACCGGCCCGTTCGGCATCTGTCTTCCGAACACACCACTAAACGGTCGAAAACCTTACGATTTTCGGCAGGTTTTCTAGGGTGTTCGGGAAACAAAAGACGTGCGACCGTCCGGTAGAAACGGTTGCACGCCTTCCATGCACCTGACAATTATCGTACGGTCGCTGGATCACCCGCGATTATATCGTACGATAATCGGCAGGTGTATGGGCACCTTTAGTTAGAGTGGTGACATAAAGAAGTTCATATTCACAGGACTGAGTAAAATTGTGTCAGTGGATTGAGGAAGTACATCCTATGGGCATCTTCAATCAGTAAGTTTACAAACTTCTAGATTGATATCACTATTTGGAGTGGAATAAAACTTATGTAAATTCAATATAAAGATACTTCTATAGTTCTAGTTTTTGACCCTTTAAAGCATTTCAGAGCCATGTGATTAGAATAAGTATTCAGATCTGTAATGTCAGAGTCTGCTTATGGAAGATACTAGGATGGCCACCAGTCCAGGCCTGAGTTTAGCACTTGTCTAGTTATCATTCATCTGCAGGATTCTCATTCACTTCTTCATGCCG